GCAAATCGGATTCGAAGGAACATTTAGCATTCAAAAGAAATCACGAAATTCGTCGAGGAAAGTTCGAATCGCGACGAATTACTATACAACGGGAAATCAATTCTAATGGAATCTTAGCGACGTTGGCAATTCGAAATTTCTCCGTATAGATTTTTAAAAGCACGGCGAGTTAGAGTTTAATCGCGAATTGGATTCGAACGAACATTTTGCAATCAAAAGAAATGAAATTCGTCGAGGAAAGTTCAAATCGCGACGAATTACTATACAACAGGAAATCAATTTCCACGGAATCTTAGCGATGTTGGAAATTCGAAATTTCCCTGTATCGAATTTTAAAAACTCGGCGAATTTGGGTTCAATCGCGAGTCGAATTCGAACGAACATTTAGCATTCAAAAGAAATGGCCGAACTCGTCGAGGAAAATTCTAAACGCGACGAATTACTATACAACGGGAAATCAATTCTAATGGAATCTTAGCAACGTTGGAAATTCGAAATCTCCTCGTACAGAATTTTAAAAACTCAGTGAGTTAGAGTTCAATCACGAATCGGATTCGAATGAACGTTTAGCATCCAAACAAATGGTAAAATTCGTCGAGGAAAGTACAAATCGCGACGAATTACTATACAACGGGAAATCGATTTCCACAGAATCTTAGCGACGCTGGAAATTCAAAATTTCCCCGTATCGAATTTTAAAAATTCAGTGAGCTAGAGTTCAATCACGAATCGGATTCGAATAAACGTTTAGCATCCGAAAGAAATGGCGAAATTCGTCGCGGAAAATTCGAATAGCGGCGAATTACGAGATAATCGAAGATCGGTCTCGACGGAATTCTCATTTCGGATAGAAATTCGGAATCTCGTCGAATGGAATTTAAAACGCGACGAGTTAGAATATATGAAATCGATTTCGAATAAATTTTGGACGATAATGAAAATTCGGAATCTCGTCGAGGAAAGTTCGTAACAGTGCGAGAACGTAACGGTAAGTCGGAATGAATTTTTGGTCACGGTTTGAGCGACGCTTGTGGACGATTTTCCGTTTATTCCCACAAAGTTCGCCATTTTTACGAGCCACGCCGAAGTGCGATTTAATCGATGAACGCCGTCGAGTGACATTATCGATGTTCATCGACGATGAACCCCTTGCCTTTTCGAATAACAGGGACGGCAGAAAGGTGAAACGTTAATCCCCGACACGCGATGAAAATTCCTCTCTGGCGTGTCGAAAATGCAAATTCCGCGTGGGAATATGCGAGGAGGAAAATAACATTTGGCCAAACGCTGCGACGCGTGTAGCACCGTTTTAGAAAAGAGAGAAGCTTCGATAGCGGGTTCGCGTGGACCTCGCTTTGTAAGAATATCCTTCAGCGTTCCATTTTCCGGCGACGTTCCCGCTGAGCTTTCAGATATACGGAGAAAGGTCCAAGGAATAGGATGATATACTTTACCGCGGGATTACGCGTCGCTTTATATTTAGGTGGCCGGTAAATCCGCGAGTGTTCTCTTGTTTAAGAGGTACAAGCAACTCCGTATTTCCGCCGCAAGAAACGCTAAACGTAGAAAGAAAGGATTTTCCATTCGGCTTTAATCTTTCATCGTCCACAGACCATTACCGTTTTCTACCGGAAAACCCGTTGCTTTTTAGCCAACCCGGTAATACTTTTCAACCCCTTGCTCTGTGATTTAAGTCCCGATGGCGAGGGCCATAATCCACGGAATTGGCCATGGATTGCGCCATTTTTGGCACACCACAAAACACCCCCCCACAAAACACCACAAAAAATAAAATTAACGAAATAACGTTAGCCTCATTAACGAAAATAATTATTAAACATTACACAAGCACGTATAAATTACTATTTTTCTAATTCCCTCGATAAAATAAATATCCAATTGGCCACGTATCGCGCCATTTTCTCCTAACACCATGAAGAACAAAATTAACGAAATAATGTTAGCCCATTAATGAAAATAATTATTAAACATTACGCAAGCACGTCTAAATTACTATTTTTCTAGATTCCTCGATAAAATAAATACCCAATTGGCCACGTATCGCGCCATTTTATCCGAACACCACCAAGAATAAAATTAACGAAATAACGTTAGCCTAATTAACGAAAATAATTATTAAATATTACGCAAGCACGTCTAAATTACTATTTTTCTAGATTCCTCGATAAAATAAATACCCAATTGGCCACGTATCGCGCCATTTTATCCGAACACCACCAAGAATAAAATTAACGAAATAACGTTAGCCTAATTAACGAAAATAATTATTAAATTTTGCAAAGACACGTACAAATTATTATTTTCCTAGTTTCCTCGATAAAATAAATACCCAATTGACCACGTGTCGCGCCATTTTATCCGAACACAACGAAGAATAAAATTAACGAAATAACGTCAGTCTGATCAACGAAAATAATTATTAAATTTTGCAGAGACACGTCTAAATTACTATTTTTCTAGTTTCCTCGATAAAGTAAATACCCAGGTACCTTCTCTGTGTCCCACGAAAATTTTCAAACCGATTCCTCCACTATTCCTCACGGACCACTCTACCACTCAGCCCAAATTTTTCGTAGAATAGTGATAAAATTGTAAGAACGTAAAATAAATATTACTAACCAAACTCTCGTTCGAAGACTCTCGAAGCTCCGTCGAGGCGTGGCACGATGAACAGGAAAATCGGTCACGCGTCGCGCCATTTCGTACTAACTCGGCGAGGAATAACACGCAACTAAGACGGAAGGACATCGACGAAAATCGAACACGAGCCTGACCGAGCTCGACAATGTTTACGTTGGACCTCGTCTGTATACCACGCCTCTTAATCCGGAAGCTTATGTTTTGCTCGAATTCCTTACTAGTCTCGCTATATTGTAGGCAAGTGGTTAACCTTCGGTTTAATATACTCGATACCTTTGTATCGGAACTTGGATATCCATAATCAACCTTGCACTATAATGATTCTAACCCTTTGCACTCCTTTGTCGAGTGTGACTCGACATTAGTTTCTATCACGGGAAGTGAAATCTCAGAAAATAAGTAATTACTTCAATTACAACAATGTTTGAGAGCTATATTGGTTAACCCATTTGCATCCAAGCGCGGAATATTCCGCGAGCCACGACTCTAGTCTATCACCGAGCGCGGAATATTCCGCGAGCTGACTTTTTCCATTACCAGTTGCTGAATATTCTTCATACGCCACAGATCACGTTTGATCCCTTTTGTGAGCATCTCATCTACGTCGGTTCATTATATTCTTAACAAGTTTTACTTTTGTTGTGAAAATCTTTTAACTGCCATTATGAGTAGGTGCTGATGCAAATGGGTTAATATGAGTCCAATTTTATTGTCAATAACTCACTACTATTTTAAGTATTTTCTTTGTAATTTACTTCACGGAACAGTTCCGCGACTGTTACTTATTTTAAAGAATTTTGTTCACTGATTACATTACCCACCGATGGGTCACACTCGACTGTCCCATTGGGCGATGTGCATCACCGGTGGATCACTCTTGAATATTCGATCTGACACTGTGTACCATTAAAAATTTATTTTGTTTAACACGTTGAATGCCATAGGGGCCACTGGTAACCGGTGCTGAATTGATAGAAATATACATAATTTAAATAAATGTCAATATTTAGAAATTTTTATCATTACCATCGTTAATTCAATGGTGACTCTAGTCGCAATTAACATGTCAAACATGGTTATACATTGTAACTTATCTATTGCAGATAATATTTCAACATTATAAGTATCGTATAATAGAAAATTCATCGTGGCGTCACGGGCAATCCCAGTGAAACTGGCGTGGTATTCAACGTGATAATAATTGAAGAATTATCATATTATTGAAGATGTAAATAATGGAAATTTAATGTACATTATTTGAAAAAAGTAGGATTTATTTTATTTTATCTAAACGTCGTAAACATAACTTTGAACTACCAACAATACTGCCCCGCTCGATGAAGCGAAGCATGACTTCGAGGTATATAGTAACAACTATGAAAATCGGTCCTTTTTGTAATTTATATTTGGAATTTAGGTAATTCGAGTAGTTATCTATTTTCTATTTTGTCGTTCGATAAATAAAGAACCAATGAACGTCGAATGTAACTCGACGTAGGAATTCCTGTGATGAAAACTAACGTCGAGTCTCACTTAACAAAGGAGTGCAAAGGATTAAGAAGCTGTCGTCTCGGATGGCAACTGCGAATCGAATCAGCGGTCCAAAGACTCGTTGCTAATCGAGCGGGCCTACCACAAGGATATAAATCATATCGATTAACGATCGTCGGCCCGATGGGCATATAAATCGCGACGGTGGTGTGTGCGGAAAAATGGCGGATCACTGGATAAAGGCAGAAGTTCGTGCCTTTAATCACGCTTAACATAATTTATATCGGTGTATTTTTCCCCGACTCCGCCTCCGCCTCGTCTTTTTCTCGCGTTAACGACGTCCCTGGAAACGATAAACCCTGTAATATTCGCCGGACTCGCTATCGCGTTATCGTGTTCGCGTTAATATATCGGAGTAACGCTCTTGCTACGCTTATTAAATTAGAATCCTCGCGTCGGCGTGGAAATTTTCCTGCTTTGCGGATCATTTCTCGCGGATTATCGCGTCGTCGTATTCGTGAAAGGATCGAGAAGACCATCGCGGGATGCTAATTATCCGGAGTTCTCGCTCGGGGACGGAGGAAAGATAAATATCGGCAAAAATCGGCAGAAATCGATAGAAATCGACACACACGCGACTCGGTTCGATATCTCGACCCGTTCGCTTCAATCTCCCGGAGATTTTTCTCCTTCTTTCTTATTCGCTTTGCATAATGCTAATGTCTCTCTCTTTCATTCCCTTTCATTCCATCTCTGTCGCTCGCACACGCGCTCGTTCGCTCCTTTTGGCTTTTTCTTTTTTTCCTTACATTCTCTCTGCCTTTCGGTTCGTATGGTTGATGAGTTACCTGACTGCGCTTCTGGTACAGCGAAACAGAAAACAAGAAAGACACACCGCCAGTTGGCTTATTTCGGATTCCACCGGCTCGAAACGACGCCAAGGTTTCGCGGTTGTTCCTTCGAAATTTACCAATCGATCATTACACCGTGTCCTACATATTTTCACTGACCTTCCGTTCATCCCCCGCCATGTCTATCCGCGGACAGTGTCGAAATTGACATATTTGCAATTTTTAATTCCCACATTCCCGGTAACGTCGATTCCCAATTTTCCATCGAACGATGAAAGCTCCCGTAAAATATAGCAAAAGTAACGTAATGGAGATAAAAGAAAAGCGTTGGAATATTTTCGAAACTCGACGAGTCTCGATATATTCGCGAGCAACGAAAGCTGAGAATTCGAAGAAGCTCTCGGGACACCCGGATGTCGTTTCCGGCTGGCGCACGATCCCCGCAGGATCCACGGTGATTCAGAAGCCTACACGGCACGTTTCCACGACTCGGACCCGATGTGGTTTCACGCCCGAGATCTCGACGAGGACCAAGCATGAAGCGATCGTTTACGGTGCGTGTGCGGTACGCCGTGATCAAGCGTGAAGTTTACGAGACTCGAAACCGTGAAACCGGACCCCGACGACGTCGCGCGATGTCGGGGATGCTCCTGGCATCCGCGGAACGTGGATCCCGCACGGGGACATTTCTATTTATCTTTGGCGTACGCTGCCAGCTTCTCTGGAGAACCTCTTATCCCCCTTTATCCTCCTTTATTCCCATCGAACCCCGAATTCCAGGTCGTCCCACGATCGATCCCATTATCGCTTATACTTTCCACGATGACTGTTCTTTCTCGCTGGAATTGTGCGTTTTATGACCGACAGCTGATAAATTTATTCGCAATGTCGGTAGAATAAATCGACGGTCCAGTTGCTCGTCGATCTCTTTTATTATGTGCCTGTAGTAATAACCGGGTGAAGGGCGAAGTTTGCCGAAGGGTAGAACGTGACAAGTTATACGGAACAGCAAAGAAACAGTATCTCGAGGAACGATGTACCGCTTCCGAGCCGACTATTCGAGGAATATTTGCTCGATCGCGGTTCTCTCCCTTTATATACCAAATACGGGCCCGGAAGGTCGGCGCCACGGGGGTTACAGACGCCTACGTTACTAATGCGAGACGCCGACAAGCTGCCAGAGACCCCTTATATTTCACCTACGATGTTGCTTCTGCAACATCCTTTTACCGCAGTTTATACCGGCAGAATTCCGAATTCACGATCCCTTAACGCGGAAAACAAATATTCCGAAGTACACAAAGCTCGTAATAATAATTATCTACCGTGGCTCGTCGAGGTTGTACATGCACGCGGTGAGTCTCTTCCAAGAATGGAAGCTAATTATTTGGTTGCAGCCTTGCTGAATCCATCGCGGCTGTGTACGACTCTCGATATTACCCTCTCCAGAGATCCTCTCGCTCGCCTTGCCATTTAGCCACGAAGCTGCAAAGAAAACCCGATACGTTGCTTTCTCCGCGCTCCCCTATCGACCCTCGAGATCGAACCACCCTCTCCGACCCGCCTCGAATTCCGCGCGAATCTACCCCAGCCTCGGTAAACAAGCGTGCTCGATATAAAAGACGATAAATAAAGCCGCGGAGCTGCCTCCTCCCGCCCCGAATCGCTAAACATTCCCCGGTGTAATTAATATTTAACGAGTATCGGCTCCGGCCCTCCCCGCAGCCAGGTATTTGAAACGCGCGAGCACGCTCGCGTATTCGAGCGCTGAAAATAAAGTCGAGAATCCCGCGCGATCCCCGCGCGTTCCGCGTACGAGCGGAGCGAGATACGATTGCACGGGCTGATTACAACGCCGGATACACCGGCGCGCAATTATGCATCCGGTTAATCCGGACAACGCGGAAGAAAAATACGCGCCGGCAATTAGAGGCGCGTCATTAAACGCTGCACGTCGTATCGCTGGTCAATTAGCCGCTATCGCTAATTGCCCGCGAGATCGTCGTCCTGTTGTAAATACGCCGAAAGGGAGAGCGCGTTCGCGCCTACGGTTCATCTGTTCAGACTGGACTCTTCGTTTTCTACGCGGGCTCATACTTTTTCCAGTTTCTCCTCGGTGATCGGCGACGGGATCTTAAATACAGTCTCGCGCGGACTCGTTTTTCGCGATCGAAAATCGCTGATAGAGTCGTTCCGATGTCTGATCCTGGTCTTTGAGGTAATTGCGAGTTATTACTGCGTGGAGGTGAGGAATAGAACGTGGAACTTTGCAAGCAAGAAATGGATTTTGCGAATTTTGTTGCGAAGAAAGTTGTAATGGGATAGGAAATACAAGAAAAATATTCTTATCGAAGAAAGTGGTTAATGTAAGGTAATCGAAACTAGGTATGACTTTGGTTTTAAGGATAAGCGACAAATAGCAATAAATTTTGTAACTAGTGAGGGATAAAACTATTTTTATCGTAACCCATATTTCTATAAAACATTCAGGGGATGGTAGTACCACTGGCAAAACATTTTTGGATAATTTGGATAATTTTGAATAATTTGGGTAAATAATTGAATAATAATTCAAGAATTTGGATAAATAATTTCGATGAAATCATTTCAAATTATTTTTAAAGGTGTAGATAATAATTGAATAATCATAATAATTGAATAATAATTGAAGAATTTGGATAAATAATTTCGACGAAATCATTTCAAATTATTTTTAAAGGTGTAGATAATAATTGAATAATTTAGATAGATAATTGAATAATCATAATAATGGAATAATAATTGAATAATTTGGATAACTAATTTCGATAAAATTATTTCAAATTATTTTTGAAGGTGTAGATAATAATTGAATAATTTGAATAATTAATTTCGACAAAATTATTTCAAATTATTTTTAAAGGTGTACATAATAATTGAATAATTCGGATAGATAATTGAATAATCATAATAATTAAATAATTTGGATAATTAATTTCCACGAAATTATTTCAAATTATTTTTAAAGGTGTAGATAATAATTGAATAATTTGGATAAATAATTTCGACGAAATTATTTCAAATTATTTTTATAGATGTAGAATGATATAATTGAAGCAACGAAAGGGGTGTCAAATTGATATGACATAAATTAAAAACAAAAGAAAGGAAGAAAAATAATAACTTCTGCTTATGGTCTATGAGAAAATAATTGCGTTTGACCAAAAATTAGAAACTTTTTGACAGAAGTAGTAACAGCATACTAGATCGGTTTCCTGCCCAATTTAACCCTAAACTACTGGCAACGAGGGTAGCTACGTTAATTTATAAAGGAAGAACAGTCATCTTGGAACGTACTACGCATAAAATCAAACCTGGCCCGATATTTCGTGTTTTCCAGAGAACCCCAGCGTAGTCCAATGAACGTGGGCGTGAATACGAGAACCACGATGGTCTCGATTATTTTCCTTCCTATCTTTCCCCCTTGTACTGTTCGTCGATCGACAAAACGAATGGTGACTTTCTTTTCTCGATAAAAGACAACAACGAGAAGAGGGGAGAAAATCGAGGCGAAACGCGATCCGAATGTAACGCGTTCTCCTGCCCTGGAGACCGTAGCTGGAATGGAAATGACGCTTAATGATCGAAAACATGTTTTCTCCCCCGGCTTTCCCTGCCTTCCGGTTCCCGTTCTCGCCACGATCGCCTTCCAATCCAATTGAAATCGAGCACGATCGCTCCGAGCCATTCTAACCACGGATTCTGCACCGACCACTTCCCATGCATTACCGTTCACCCGATATTTCCCATTCTGCACGCTGACCGGCCACGAGTCTCGCTTCGGAATTCAACTTTTTGGTTAATCACCGACTTAACGGGATCGTTCGTGTCGAATCACCGTGCCCTCGAAATGCCGTGTTCCCGATGAAGAATATTCGCTTCAAGCGTCCATCGAGATAAAGAACACGGTCCCCAATTTCAAGCGAATTTCGAGCAACGAAAAGCGAGTTTAATGGTGTTGTATAAAGTCGCGACTCGGTTTATCGGCATCTCGCAAGAACGAAATTGCTCGGTTCGTTTGATGAAAGGCTCGTGACGAGAACGGGAACGGTGATGGAATGAAAGACACGTGACAGCTGTGCTGAAGCACAGGAAGCACAGGGTGTCGGTGACACGACGATTGCCAACGAAACAGGGCTGAATCTGCTTAGAAGTACGATAGAGAAGTATTCGCAATGGCGTCGCGGTGCGGCAGACATCGATTGCGATTTCGTTTCTCATATCAGCCTCTCTTATCTTGCAACTGAAACCCACTCTGGAAAGAAGTTCCTTTAAAATTCCCTTTAACGAAACAAAATTTATTATAATATCCCGAAATACCGAATTTCGAGGAGTATTCGAAAAATTTAAATAACATTCAAATTTAACATTTTAAATTCGAACAAAAATATATCAGAAATATTTCAGAAGCGTACCAAGCACGATTGCTCGTTACATCCCAAATCCCAAATCTTAGAATCTTCGAATAGGAAATAAAATGGCGGAAAGAAACTTAAAATAAAGTGAGGAATACCCGAAGAGGATATTTTACAAAGCACAATTACTCGTTGCATCCGAAATCGCAAGCAATGGTCACCGAGCACCACGACGAATGAGCGAGAAACGAACGGCAATGAAAGTCACAGTTGTCGGAAGATACCTCGATCTTGAGGCGCGAAGTACGGCGATGGAGGTAGCCTGAAGGTACTTCGGATCTCACCTGCGTCCTTGCCACCCTTCACGCAGATCCCAAAGCCATGGTGAGAGTCCGGCGGATCTCTCGTCATGGTGATTGTCCTTACGGTGAGCTCCTGCAGGCTCAACGGCTGAGAGCTCGGCGACGTCGGAGGATTCGCGGCATTTGGCTGCGACTGCTGCGATTGCTGGGACTGCTGCTGCTGCTGCGACGTCGACGACGGCGTGGTCCTCACGGCGGCCACGCTCGCAGGCGAAGACGCCGGCGTCCTCCTGTCCCCCTGTCGACGCTCGGACACACCGTTCCCGAAAAGTCTGCGACGAAATTTTCTAATTAATCCCGGCAATCTGTCGGGTATTCTTAACCTCCTGTCACGTGTGATCAAGAAGTACCTTTACGGTCATTACACTGTTTTAATAGAATTTTTATTAACCCTTCGCACTCGGCGATTTTTTCGTTACAGAAAAATAGTAATTAGAAGACCTTCTGCCATGAAGTCGACGATATTTTTAAAACGGTAAATAAGAAATCGTATGCAAATTAAGATTAAAATTATTTTGCTTCGATATTCCATGCATCGTTGGGTAATTGTAAATTTGATATATTAATTAACATCCATCTTTAGAATACGATTAAATGGCGACTGAGAGGTGCCTCTCGAGTGTAAAGGGTTAATATTAATCGTTTTTCCCAATCCTTAAACTTTTTCTGTTCACCCACTCATTTTAACCCTTCGCACTCGACGATTTTTCCATTACAGGGAAATAGTAATTCGAAGACTTTCTGCCATAAAGTCGACGATATTTTCAAAACGGTAAACAAGAAATCGTGTGCAAGTTAAGACGTAGATTACTTTTATTTCGATATTACAAACATCGTTGGGTAATTGTAAATTCGATATATTAATTAACATCCATCTTTAGAATTTGATTAAATGGCGATTCAGAGGCGCCTCTCGAGTGCAAAAGGTTAAGCATAGTATATTGTACCTTTTATCGGCCAACAATAACTCTGGATGACTCTGTACTATATTATTATTCGTCTTGTTACCGAAGAGTTAATACACGTTAAGATAAATAAAATAAATAAATAAATTATAATTAGGGGTGTCTTTGGAACGAGAACATTTGTTGCATGCCAAATTCGTGTTTAGAGGTATTCAAGGTTGACATTTTCTTCCTGTATCGACCACCATGTTATAAATTAACGCAGTATCGTGAAGATATTTAGCATTTTGAATCAATTGTCCCATGGTTAGACTCTTCTGATAAATTTGTATAATATTTATTGTATGATAAATAAACTATTGAATGGAAAGTATACAAGCAAGGAACCTATAATTGCTCGACACTAGAACTACCAATCAAGTTGGTAAGACTGGTCTCAGAATTTTCCTGTTCGCAATTAGTAAAGATAAACAACTATTTTAAAAAAAATTTCGCGTAGATTAATATCGAGATAGAACTGAAATTAATATATTTACTTATCTTCATGGTATCACTAAAATTACCATTATCCATGCCCGCTACGTTTAAATACCCATAAAAGATCGGTGGTTCCAGTGTCACCACCGTAAAACAATTTCAAGGATGCATACTCGATGATTCGATCCAAGTAAAACCTACGAAACTGCACCTTGTTAGATCAAACGTTGGACTCGATGTACTGATTAGACTAGTTGGACCCAAATTGCCTCGTTAGCAGGGGCAAAAACAGCGACAAGAAGCCGCCATGTTGCGGAGGAAAATTCCGCGCGGATTTTTACGCGCGGATCATTGGAGACGATGCGAGAAGCGAGTATGGGGAGACGTACCTGAGCACCTGCTCCGGCGAAATGGCACCGGAGCCTCCGGTGGCGTGTCCTCTGTGCCTGTACGGTGTAGTGTGCGAGGAATGGTGATGAGGAGCACTCGGCGGCCTCTCGACGATCGTGTAACTCGTGCCCGGAGGGCTGTAATATCCCCTGTGCTGGCCACCATGATGCCTGCTGCTGGGCTCTAAATCCTCGGCCTCGTAGCAGCCGCCGGGGCCGCTTCTCAGGAAGTGGGTGCCGCTGCGCAGGAAGTGCGACCCGCTACCGCCGCCCCACTGCAGGTCCTGTAGTTCCGACCCGTAATCCTCCGTGCTGCTGGCCATGCCTTTGGGATCCGTTTTGTCAGACCTGGACAAAGAACAGGACCGGTGAACTTCGGCGCGAAGAATCGTTGAAATGCCGTTGAAAAGCCGTTGAAAATATCTTTGAAAAATCGCCGAAAGGACGTTGGAAAATTGGCAGAGGACGCGGAAGATATACGAGTAACTGAAGAGTCTCCACGCGTTGTGCATTCGTGAAATAATTGCTGTTGCAAACTCGAGTGCCGCTGGTTCCGTTGGTATTCGCACAGTGTGCACGTTTGGAAGAAATATTAACACTTATGCATGTACCATGTATACTTCGAAGCCGAATTTTAAAAATTTTCCACGTTTCCACAAAGTGTGCACAATATTATTCTGAAAGATTTACGTTTCCAGTGAATATTCGAATTAATGGAAAACGAAGAAGCCTATGTGCATACGTTGCAGAATTTTATAATAATCGTAGAATTTTTTAATATCACCATTTAATCGGTGATGGAACCTACAGTTACGAGGAAGAACAGGGTGCATTCGAAGAAACGGGATAGTTAAATAAATTTAAAAATTGGAAAAGCAAGAGTGGAAGGACGCGTGGGTCTATTAATCGCCTCGATCGCTGTACGTAAGTACCCTAATGCATTATTCCGTTATCTTTCCGGCAAAGTTCCGTCCTGGGAAATCGCGAAGAGGTCCAGACGAACTGCTAGATTCGTTAAATCCCCGATGTGAAAGCGGCAACTTTCGAGATTATGAAAATACAATTAGCAGGCGTGGCGTTAGAGGGGGATCGCTAATAATCAAAGCGACTCGATGGAAGATAAAGAGGGCCACGACCTGAATTTCCCAGACAGCGACTGCATCGATCTGGGATGTCATAAATTAGTCTGGAACCGAGGCTCTCGGGAGATCGCGGAGACGTTCTCGTTGTAATATTCACACCCTGTGCCATTCGAATATCAAACTAACCCCATCTTGCCCTTTGATCTGCGACCCTTTTGCATGAAATCTCGCGAGGCGTAACTGTATTCACGGCTTTTCGAATAGCCGAAGCAAAAATAAACGACCAGACAATTAACCAAAAAAGATAATTAAATTTTTGGGCCAAAATCTAGATTTTTTCTTGGTTTTAACATTCAACTCTTCGACACGATTTCTTCGACAATTTCGACTTTTCCGTGAAAATACTTCCACGATTCACGGGGGGAAGTTCGTCTTTCGCTTTTCCGCCATTTCGCTTCGATCGAAACAAACGAGAATATTCGAAAATCGGCGAGGAATCGATGGATATCTCCCATTGTACAAAGAACGGAACAGTCATCGGGCGACCATGAAGTGACCTTAAATCGATTGGTATCAACGCGTGACCAACGGAACAACAACGGAACCCATGTCGGCAGGAATTGCCTTATCGTGGTGGATCGTGTCCGATAAAATCTGCACGTGACGGCCAGGCGATTTTCCGTGGCGCGGCGATGTCATAATCCCGACAGGAAACCGACCATTATCGCCGGAAGAAATTTCAAAGTTCCCTCTTGTTCCCGGCGTCAAGCCTCGTGCAAACCCGCCCACTCTTCGGCGACGATTTACACGCCCTCGCTGCATTTCCTCCCTCGCCGCCGATCGTCCTTCTTCGCGACGTTTTCATCCCCCTTGGACCAACTTCCGCCACGCACCGTTTCGAGTTTCGCGAAATATCGTTCCTCTCTGTCCCTTTGTCTCGACGGTGCTCGACGTTGCTGCGTGGAATATGCATACGTCGAAAAGAAGACGGAACGGAGACACCGGTGTTCATTTCGCTCGAGCTATCGAATATCGTTAAAGTCGCGACGCTGTTCCGACATGCAGATCCGTGTTTTTCCACGGAGGAATCCGATATCTGATAATTTCGTGGCATCGACGTGGTATGGATGTTGTTATTCGCGTGTCCCCGATGGGGGTGCAGTTTCGCGAATCGCGAGAGTAGGGGGTAGGGGGTATCGAACGACGTCACGGAACCCCGTTTCGCGGATACGCGAGTGGAAAGGCAAAATGGACAACGGCAGATGGGGGATGAAAGGGGTGTGTGTGTAAAAATGACACGAGAGGCAGTCGCGTTTCCGTTTTATCCGGCTTCCCGGTGTCTTTTATGACGTATTACCATATTTCTATTACGCCCGGCGTTTTATGACGGAATACGTAATGGAGGATATCGAATTTCGAAAGGTCGTTTCCGGGGGTGCATCGAACGGTATCGGGGGGATGATCGCGACTCGTAGGCAGGAAGAGCGTGGAGCCCTAGCCAGACGAATTGATGCTTTATAAGACGTCGTGTTTCCATTAGGTTTCATATTTTACGACGGCATACATTATGGAGAGCATCGAAACTCGTCGTGTGACGCTCCCTGGAATATCGAATTAGCGTTTCCCCGTCGAATAACGCTTCACGGTTATCGCGCAAAAACACGAAATTGATTACGGAAACGATCGAGGCTCTCGCAAACGATATTACCATGCCGAAGCAGGCATTCTCCGGTTTAATTTTCGAACAATTTTAGAACGCGTTAAATCTCCCCTAATTACGGATTCATCGCTTACTCGCAACGCAGCCTCCAAGCGTAACGAACGGGGGGGAAGGAATAAATCCCATTAATCCCATTAAATATTTAGCGAGATCGAAGGGGGATTTGTTGAATAAATTTAATAGAGAAAAATTCGGAAAATTAATTACGCACCTTCCATATTGAACAGAGGAATTAAACGGAGGAAATTTCCCTAGTTATTTATCTAGGGATACTTTTGATTGGCAAATTAATCCTTCCATTGATCATTCTTGAATTGCTATAGAATTTACGTGATCAGTGAATAAATTAATACAATGGCTATAGTACTATGACGATGGTTATAGCCAGTACTGTATTGGCTATGGTTAATATCACTAGGGATAATTAAGGTGTTTTAAATTAGCTACGCCTATGCAACGATGGTGACAGGCCTGTTAGAGGTCAATACAGGTCAATACCGACCTTTGGACCTCGAGAGGTCGGTTTTGGGGTTTAACCCTTTGCACTCGGTGATTTTCTCATTCCAGAAAAATAGTAGTTCGAAGATTTTCTGCCATAAAGTCGACGATATTTTTAAATCGGTAAATAAGAAATCGTATGCAAATTAGGGCGTATAATTATTTTACTTCGATATTCCACGCATCGTTGGATAATCATAAATTTAATATATTAATTAACGTCCATCTTTAGAATCTGTTTAAATGGTGACTGAGAGGCGCCTCTCGAGTGCAAAGGGTTAATAAACCCGCGAAAAAATGTGCACACGGAAGCATATCGCATTAGCAAATTGCCAATTGTAGTTCCACGTAATTACACGTACTTACACGCTTGTATACACGTGAACGGGGGTTAATGCAAATATAAAGGAACCGAATACGACGACAATTTAATTAAAGTCGTATAGAGTGTTATGAAACTACCCCCGAATGGTTTTTAACAACCCGATATTTATTCGGGACGAAAAATAACCTCCTATTTTCGTGTCCGTATCGAACAAGCAAATTCCACGATAACGTGCCTATAATAACCGGTTTTTATTACGAAACCGCGAACTTTGCTCGTGTCTGCCAATGAAGATAAGCGGAAAAAGAGCACGAGGTAATTTCGTCTTTGCTGCTTAAGGGGTCAAACGAAGTAAGAAGTTCACTTGCTCGCAACGAGGGGGTAAGAACTCGCACGCCTCGTTGTTAACCGAGCGAATCCACCACCACTTGGCCAACTGGCGCAGCGAGCTATCGAAACAGGCGTCGAAGAAGAACCCGAGGACGACGAGGAATCGAAGGATCGCCAAATCGATATCTCGCGAATCGAGGATTCCGGGAGAATTTACGCGGACGATTTGGAACAGCGAAACGTCGACGAGGTCGTGGCTTTGGGGCCAAGGATCGCGAAGAAACGCGAGATCAGTGGAAACTACGTGACACGTGGGACGGAAAGGGGTTGCTTTAATTAAACGACGTTACAATTTTCCACGTCAAACGATTTTCCGCTGCTCTAATCTTCCACGCACTCGGGTACGCGCGTATTCTCGTCCCATTTCCCTTGGCCTTCGCGTTTTCTGGCCGACATGCCACCGAATTAGTCTCAAACGCTTCGTTACGCGTTACAATCCGGGTGGTGAGTTAGTCGCTGCCGCTTCGAAATTGTTAAATCGGTTTAAGGAGCTACGTGGCACAAGGAGAATTTCGCGCGAATGTTTACGAGCAGCTGGGGTGAGTGGAAGCCGGATGCTCGAGATTAGGGCGCGGAGGAGGGGTGCATGGTCACCGAGATTTCGGGGAGATAGCAGTGAAGGAGTCTTGGACATATCTCGCAGATTGCCTGGATCTAACTTCGGATTGACACTGGGAAATTGTACCTACTTCTAGGAAGATGTTTACACGAGGCAGAATCCCAGTGCAGTATGTGCTCGTACTCGGAATTTTATTTCTCTGTATTACAATGCTTTGGCAATTGGATTCGTGTTGGAACAGACTCTTGACAGTTTTTAGGGTTTTCGATGTAATAACGTGGACTGACAGATGGATGTAAAACACGCATCTTTGTGGAATAGATATTGTAATAAATCGTACCAAATTTTATATTTAACACTTTGGCTGCCACGTTGGTCATATATGACCGATCATAGTTTCTCTCTGGATTGTATAAGAACAAATTGAAGATGGGTTCTTGGAGGATCAACAAAATTGATAAAAATCATTTTCACAATTAAAATTTGTGACACTCCAGTCACAGATAACATATATGACAATTAATGAGATAAATAAGAATCCTTATGTTGTAAATTAACTATGGCCATGCAACGATGGTGACAGGCCTGTTAGAGGTTGCAGGACAATATCGACCTTTGGACTTCAAGGACCTCGGTACTATGCAGGCATGAAGGAGTTGGTTTTTGGATTTAAAAAGACCTGCTGTCTCTTGCAGCAGTCAGTCTCTAATCATAAACACTGTAGAACGCTTTTAACACGTTGACTACCAACTACGAAATATCTCGTAGGTTGTT